GCATCGCCCGCAAGGAGGAGGCGCCCGAGAACGTGGTGGAGAAGAAGGACCTGGAGAAGGACGCCCCCAGCCCCTTCCAGGCCTTGTTCTCAGGTGGGCGCGGCGGGGACCCGGGTGGTGCCCTGTCGGAAGCGTCTGCCCGCCCGTCCGGGAGTCTCATTGACGCATCCCGTCGCTCTCTGAGACCTGCTGTGTCCCCGGGGGTGGGCCCCCCACACACAGACTGCCCCCTCCGCCCGGCGATGTCGGGGAGATGGGCGCGATGGTAGAACGCACGCTGAGCGAAGCGAGACCATGGGGCAGTCAGCACCGGCCTGCCACATGGCCGTCACGGTGACAGCAGTACAGGGTCTCCCGTCTGGGCTGCACCCCACCCCGTGTGCTACGGGCTCACGCTCCTCCCTGTCCCGTGTCAGGGGATGTGCGGTCGGTGGCCTGCGTGGGGCCTCAGGCCTACGTTCCTCCGCCCTGGTGGCTGAGTGTGGGCTTGTGATGGGACCACCTGAGTTCAATTCAGAGTCCGCCACCAGCTGGCTGTGTGCTCTTGGGCAAGTGGCTGCTCCTCTCTGAGGAGACTCGACGCCACGCTGATGGTCGGCACCGAGCACGTGCCTGGCCCTGGGCTGCTCAGCATCTGCCTCCCCCTGGTTGGGTTACTGTTAGGCTCCTGCCACTTGCCCGGCTCTGGGCGGGGCCTGGGTGTGCTGGGCAGATTCGCTCCCACCGCCTGCTCTGGGGGAGATGTCACTCAAGGGCGGGAGTTCAGAGTAAAAGGGGTGTGTGTGTGTATTACAGTTACTTTTTTAACAACTTGGATGCCCAACTCCGCTTGAACGGGGTGGGGCGGGCGATCCCTGTGGAATGGAGGCCGGAGACGCACAGGCTGGGTGGGGCTGTTTGGGGTCTTATTAGGTTTTGCTTCCAAACCAGCCTGGCCCTGGTGCTGGGGGAGGGGCTAGAGAAAGTGCTGCCTGTGGGTTCTGAGTCTGAAGACGCCTGGGGACAGGGTGGTGGCTGATGCCTCCTGGGTGAGATCCTGGCGAGCAGAGGGGGGTGTGGACCCGTCCTGGCTGGTGGGTGGGTGTGGGTGAGGGCACGGGGGTGGCAGACGTGCCAGGCAGAGAGGCCCGCTGACCTCCGTGTCCTTGCAGATATCCCGCCCCGGTACCCGTTTCCAGCCCTGCCGCCGCACTACGGGAGGCCCTACCCCTTCCTGCTGCAGCC